CCGGATAGCTTATTGAATAGGTGTCCATACTATACCGGATAGCTTATCGGACAGGTGTTCATACTATACCTGATAGCTTATTGAACAGGTGTTCATACTATACCGAATAGCTTATTGGACAGGTGTTCATACTATACCAGATAGCTTATTGAACAGGTGTTCATACTATACCGGATAGCTTATCGGACAGGTGTTCATACTATACCTGATAGCTTATTGAACAGGTGTTCATACTATACTGGATAGCTTATCGGACAGGTGTCCATACTATACCTGATAGCTTATCGGACAGGTGTTCATACTGTACCGGATAGGTTATCGGACAGGTGTTCATACTATACCGGATAGCTTATCGGACAGGTGTTCATACTATACCGGATAGCTTATCGGACAGGTGTTCATACTATACCGGATAGCTTATCAGACAGGTGTTCATACTACACCGAATAGCTTTTCGTGTCGGTTCGAAAAGCTATACGGTATAGTGTTGCCTGTTTGAATTATTTTTTATTTTTTATTTTTTTATTTTAAATATGCATTACAAACAATTTAACAACGAACAGGTTAACAACTAACATTAAACTAGAATACAGTTTAAAATAAATGTTTGATAAAAAAAATACAATAATACAATAAATGTTTGACTAAAAAAATATAAGACTGACAAGAAAAATAAAAAGCAACTAGCACTTAAACTAACGCATACATATTTGTCTATGGTAACATGACAAGGCTGATTATTGCTTGTGTTAGCAGAGTATTTGCTTCTTTACGAATTAAATTATTTACAGTGCGACAAAAATAACAAACAAACGAGCGAACAAACATTTTGACTCCACTACACAACATCAACAGACAAAACGTAAAGGCAAATAAGCCTGGTGAGAACCAAACCTACTAAGTACGTATGTAAATACAATAATAGGTGATCACTGGTGAATACCTAATGTACAACACTCGTAAACTAGCTTTCACAAAAAACTCGTGCTACAAATGGTCGATCTCGACCTAAATGCCCCAAATAAACAGGCAGGCTTAGTGCCAGTTAGGCTGGGGGAACTCTGATCAACGGATAACTAGGACCGGGAACACTTCAGGAGCACAGAGGCTGAGTGTCGGGAAAACTGGGAATTACCTTCATTAATGTACCCAACAAGGCATGTAGCCCAGTTACCAGTAAGGCTGCCAGAAAAGGCTAGGGCAGGACATTTAGGGCAAACAAATGGGTAACGACCCTGGCTAGAGGTCTGCAACCTTGCCCGCAATCTAACTGCGTCAAACAAGACTTATATCGCCTCCTAAAGAGCGGTTGCAGGACATCTGACCTAAGCATACATAGAAACTAAATATATCAAGTAAAGGAGCAGGTGCAAAACTGAGATAACTGTACAAGTACATAAAATAAGAACGCGAAAAAAGCTGAAAACTAGCAGAGCTGAGCTACCGCTTACAAACTGAAATAAATGCGGTCAGACGGAGGCCAGAAAAAACCTGCCCAAAAAAACCCCGAAGGGAAAAAATGTGGGTCGGAAATCTGGGTAGGAACCAAGGCTCAATAGGTTGCTCCTAACAATTAAATAAAACGAAAATTTAAGAAAAACCAAAGAGAGGTTGGTTCGTAAGCCTAGATGACGTACACGTGATATACGCTGGCTTATATACCCCCAATATGGCTACCCATGTTGCACCCGGCCCAATAGCCAGGCCCTGTTGTATCTCTCGATATCTCGTGCCGTCAAAATATTTGTTTCTGCCTTTTTCGCGGGCTCATTCGTCAGAAATAACATTTATACTAAACAAATAATGAACAGTTGATTTGATATTTAGATTTGTGCTTTTCTATGTCAAGTCTGCTTTTTAGGAAAGCGAGAAAGCTCTCGAAGAAATAGCGGTTTTCTTTTCTCTCGGCGTTGTAAATATAATACTTCGCTACAACTAAACGGAGGCTCAAACCAAACTTTAGCGCGAAGTTGTTCGTAAAGCCATAGATAATATGTTTTTAATTTAGCAAAATGGGGTCATCGTTTTTGGTAATCCACCAATAAGTGAATTTAGACCTAAGCCTTTTAGTGAGTTCGCAAAGATGGCATTGATCCTTATCTTTAATTTTTTCCCAATATTAGGTCGCATCTACATAGTTCTTTTAGTGAACTGTTGATTGAAGGTTGGTAATTCTTTTCTCTATATTTTTTCTCTTTTTCTCTCTTTTACAGACATTCTAGAAACGTTTGACTTGTTATGTTTGTGCTTCTTAGCTTAACCGATTTGTTTTTGTGCACCAGTGAAACCAAAGAAACAATAACAACAAATAGGGTTTCTATTTTTTCAGAGGACAAGGAAATATTTTTGAAACATGGTAAACACGACTTGACTCACTCGTCGAAAGCTGCACCTGGGCCAAGAAAGAGCGTTCAAATTCCAGCCTTAGCAGAAAGACGCTCTATTTTCAATATCACAAGTCAACGACGTCAACGATTCTGTATAGAGTCGGCACAGTTTT